TTTTTTTTTTTCGTAACATGAGTAACAAATCAGAACTTATTCGTTAACAAGTTGAGTAACTTAATAATCAGAGCTTATATTTAAACATGAAAGTATATAAAATTATTTATGAAGTATGAATATTATATTGAAGCATCTTAAGAATTTCAAAACGTTCTTCAAGGCTTATTTATCCATTTTGAACATCATGATAAAGCTTTTATACTTGTTCTAGCTACAAACAGTGTATATTGTATATTGTAAGCTCATTCAGTGTATATTGTATCTCGTTAATTTTTCGCACGATGAATAGTATATTCTAAAAAAAACCTGTTTTAAGGTTACTATAAATTTTTTAAAACTCAATGGTTCCATGCAAAATTTGCATTCTTTTTTTTAGTTGAAGTTAAAATAGAAATTAATTCATTGGTATTCTCTTGTCATAACATTATTTCAGGATTCACTGCATGAACTACTGCATCAATAATAAAATCATATTTTACAAATTATCATTCCGTCATTCTTTAATCTAATATTCTACTTTATTTTCTTTCTGCCTCTTTTTCTCTTTATTTTATTTTATTTTTTTTTTTTAATGTCGGTAAAAAGGTATATAAAACGATATATAAAAATAGTAAAATATTTTTCGGCATTTTACTGCAGTTGTACTTCAGATAATTTTTAGAAGTTCGATACATGAAGCCCTTTTAATGTCCTATTTTTGTAGGCGCATACATACATATGTATAAAAATTACAAAATGTTTCTTGGACTTTGACATTGTCTTATTCGTACTTATATCGGAACGTATTAACAGACTTTGCAATCTTCAGGAAAATATAATTACAAATATAAGCAAATTAATGAAGTATTGATAGACAAAGTATATTAATTTCATTATGTGCGTACTATCGCGTATATTGAAGAAAAATTGATAAACTCTAACGCGATAACTAGTTTAACTAGTAATAAAATTTGAAATTCATTAAAAAGTTGTACTCTGTTTATACTAATTTCGATAGTTTTTGTTGGAAAATATAGTTCTTTAGGAATTTTATTTTATAACACACGTGATGTTAATACGATAGGCAAATTGACCGTATTTAACAAGATATAATTTAATGTTAAATTCAACAAAAGACACCAGTGTGGTTTAAAATTTTTCTATCCTTAGTATTATAAATCTTTTAAATAGCACAGTCTCTATCGCGATAGTACTTCATTTTTTTTTTTTTTTTTAACAATTTCCGCCATATTACTTCTGAATCCGTGATATGATTGTCGCGTATTAAATAATTATTAATATCTACAATTTTATATAAAGTATTGTCGCTACTTTTGATGAATAATGGCAATCATGTAAAGTACTAAATCAGTTTTATGCGATAATTAACGCATGCAGTGCTGCGTTATTCACAATAATAAGATAAAAATTAATTAAAATAATTAAAAAGTAACAAGAAAATGAAAATATTATATTCGATTTACACACAGTCATCTAAAATGCTGCATTTTCTTCAATTTCAAATGATAAATGAAAGTTGCATTTAATGGCGGTAACATGACTCGAACAGATCTTGAATGAAGCTTACTTTATATGTATATGCTTTTAAAATGCCCAAATAAAATTTTGGCATTATTCATGTTAAACATATATATTATAAAACAGCGCTTTTAAAAAGTACTGAAAAACGTACACGTTTTTCTCTTGATTAAAAATAACTGTAATCAACTCGAATACAAATTTTTGTACCAAATCGTAAAATTGTTTTATATATAAATCAACAATCTTTGTATTATACATTAGCGAAATGTTGTTTACAAAAACTGTATTACACAGTCATTGTGTGATCGTGGAAAACCATGCTGTTTTACATTATTACAAAAAATTTTATGTAAATCCAAAGAAATAGTAATAAATGCATAAGACTTAATATACAATTATTCGATAATCTATTTAGATTTGTTTATAATTTGCCTCATCATACGTATTGCATGCTCTTCTTTAACGACAAATGTTTTATGTTACACGTGCGTATACGTATTACGCACAAAATATACATACACACATACACACATACATACACACACACACACCGCACGCACGCGTCCTGGGTATTCGAAAAAACACGATTTTTTGTATATATTGAAATCCTGAGTCAAAAATAAGAGGATTTCATAAATAAAACCGAACATTATTATCTTTTTTATTTTTTCGCTTATTTCTTTACAAATTATTTATAATCGTTGTTGAACACGCGCGTAAGCGTATTTTGTTTTAATTTTATTTATTATTCAGTACATAAGTAAAATGAAGTTAAGCATAACTTCAATCGCCAGACTGCGTATAGTATACACGCGTTCAACTTTATGAATAATTTAAAAATCTGTTTGAAATAATTTGTATTCTATGAAGTCCTCTTATTTTAATTACATGATTCCTTTATGTATATAGTTCAATCTTTTTTGATAGGAAATCGTTTTCACGATGATTTATTACTATTTATTAATTTAGACCACATGCATGCAGTATGGTCATCTAAATGGAGTTTCTGCTACGTAGGTCCTGCAAACAAAGCTGCAAACCCGCTATCAGTCGAATTCTCGGATACCTCATCTACACGTACCGCTTGTTGTTTACCGAATATTTCTATACGTGGTAAATTGTCTATTTTAATTTCCTTACGAAACAATTGACTAACACTTCGACCAATGAGCTGTAACAAATATTATATAATAAAAATGTATCCTTCAATATAACATTTTCAACATGTAAATCTTACCTGATTTGTGATTTTCTTAAAAAGATCTTTCTTTCCTTTTTCAACTTTATTTCCTTTAGTACTAACCACAGCCATTTTTTCATCGAAACGTTGTAAATCCGTAGGATTTACACCCGGAATTTGCTGCATTACTTCAATAATATTGGGAAATTTAGGTCGTAGGCATTCATAGACTTGTGCACCCAAAGTTATAAGTGAACCTTGATTTGCTTCGTGTTGTCCATGAAGCTGTAAACCTTGAAGAATAGCTACCATAATGTGAGCAGCCATAGCAGGCGTTAAACTGCCATCAGCTGCCAATGCTCGTACAACCGGTCCAGTTAACATTGTAGCCTTCAAACTTGCATTTGAATCGTTCCAAGCTAAAGCTCTAGTTGTAACAAAATATTTAATTTAATTAAACATTTAAATTAATTCTACAATGAAATAAATATCAAATGAAACATTAGATTACCCTAAAACACATAGAACGACGCTATGGCACGTAGATGGATGACGAAGAACGACAGTTCCCAATTCACTAACAACTTCAGCAACTATACTATTTCCACGTGACGAAGGAGCATCGATAGCCATACTGCCACTATCTTGTTCTATAATATCAGGAGTCGCATCACTAGCAGCACCTCCGATAAGAGCTACTTTCAATACGTCTACAAAATCCCTTGTCAAATTTCGATTTAACATATCAGCGATAACTTCTTGTGTATCCGTATTTTCTTCGTCCAAACCACCAGATTCATAAAGGTGTGCAATGTATTGCCATTTCGCACTTAACCTTTGGCACACTGTAAAAATATGATACAATAACCAAATACATCTAAATAAAAAATAAATAATAAATCAATTATATTAATAAAAAATAAATCAATGCAATAATAAAACGATAAAAAAGATCGTACTATGCGTAGAAACATGAGCCAATACAGGTACAAGAACACTTTCATAAAATGCAGGTGGACAAGAATATATGAATGGTTTCATAAAAACGCGTATAATTGGTCGCAACCTATAATCTGGAATCATCTGAAAAAAACATATACATATATTAGTGTCATTAAAATAAAAAAAAATATTACTAGTTATAATAAGAAAAAAATTACCTCCATATTAGAGAAAACTGAGTTAATGAGCGCTGGTGCTAAACCAGGTAATTGGTAAAAATCTCTGCCAATCATATGACATCCGCTACCTAACATATGGTAGCATAAGTCATGAATGGTACTTAGAAACGACTGCATTCGAATTAAAGCTGTAAACGAAGACTGATCAGGTTCAGAAGCTCGTTCACTATCATTTGTTGTATTTAAACCTAACAGATTTGCTTTCTCTGCTTCCAATAATTCATGAGCATTTTTATATCCCTGATAAAAATATATAAAAAATGTATTTTATGAAATTATTATATAATAAAATTATGTAAAATAAACAAAACTCTTATTATTAGTGGCTATTACCTCTGATAAAGCTGCTAAAGCAGCAGGTGTAAATAAAGCGTTCATTGTTCTGAGCAATGCAAAAAGTGTTGGCAGTATAGGAATTACATGTGGTGTAGCAGGATTTCTATACACTGGATTCCCACTTTCGCTAAGCGCAGCTACAAAGCTGCCTCTTGCAGCGCGATCAGGATCATCGGGGATAGAACAGCGTTTTACAACGCACAATATTGTGGAGATACATATCATTAAGTCGCTTCGACTTTGACCTGCCGGATCTTCCGTAATATTTTCAACTGGTGCTCGGTCTAAACCTACGAATCTCATTAATTCGAGTGGTCCTTTAAACGACTCTGATCCAAGCGTGATAAACTTCGCTGATGCATCACCGATTATTTCTGCGACAAATCTGGTTTGCCTTTCATAATCACAAAAATGATTTGATATTAATAACAATGCTTCATAAAGTAATGTAGTTTCCATCTTAGATAAAGGACTAGGTTCTCTTGCTAAACCCTGCACCATTGTATGTATTTGCTCAAAAACTGGTAGAAGTAGCAATGGATATTTCAGACTAATTTTAACCATAAGACTAGCCGCATGTCGTCTTACGTTTTTTGCTGCTCTAGATCGAGTACCTTTTGTTTCACCAGGAGCTTCAAATACCAGAGCAGCGAAAATTTTCTCTAGAACTCTAGGTAGGATAGCCACACCTGGCATAGCCATTGAACCAGTTGACATAGATAAAAACACAAAGAGAGCGCTGATGCAAGAAAGCAGCGCGGATAATAACCAAGGATCTTGGGGCGAATAACCGAGACATAATTCCAACAATTGAAGGCCAGTTTGTACGCTTGGTCGTTCGTTAATCAATAGAATTCTTGATACAACAGAATCTAAGGCTTGCGCAAGAGCTTCCCATTCAAGATATTGTGGATCATTTTGGTCACTTTGATATCGAAGGTCCGCCATTCCTTTTGTTATTTTAGCTGTTAACCATTGTTGTACATAAGTAAATGTAACCAAAGGAGCTACCATTGTTACTTGTCGAAAACCTTCCAATAAATCAGTTCTGAATCGATGAAGGAAGACATTAAATTCTTCCATTGAATCATAATCTGCGAGACAATATGCGCTCATTCCATTAGCTTGTCTATCTTGTGGATATGTCACTTTTATTAGTTTTGGCGCTGTATGTTCTACATATTTTGGTATATAAGTTAACAACAATGGATCTTGTTTTATCTGTTCATGTTTAAACAGCATTATCCAAATTACATTTGCCATATGCGTTAATGTCAAACTTGAATACATGGTAAATGTCAACACGGTATCTAAAAATATGTTGAAATGTGTTGGTCGAATATTAGAACTATCATCTTTACCCCAAAGTGTACACAGTTGAGTAGCCATTCCAGTTAATACCTAAATTAAAAATTAACATTTTTTATTCTTTACATGTATGTATAATTATCTTCGTGATAAATTGATATATACCTGTGTTAATTTTTTTAAAAACAAATAATGGTTCTCATGAAATTCATTTGTTCCAGTGACAGGTGATGCTGCAGTTGCTGCTGTATAAATATATCTCAAAGCATCTTCAGAAAACAAAATCATTAATTGCTTTCTGTCCTCAGCTTTGCCTTTACGGTTTACAATTTGTAATAAACATTCAGCTGCTGAGCACTGAAATATTGGATCTCCCAACAGAAGACACAATATCTGCAATAATCTACCATCTTCCGCCATAATATGAGTAATTGAAACCCACTCCACAAAACCAGTTAATGTGGACAGTACTACCTATACAATGTGACATAATTTATTTATTATATAATATAATTACAAAAATTAATTGTAAAGATATAAATAATTTCACAATAAATTTACCTGTACAACTTTGCTATGTGCCGCAGCTTCAGAAGTACAACCTAAATTATTCTTCTTTTGAAATTCAGAAAAATGTTGTTCCATTAATCTTAAAAAAAAACTAAAAATTTCAGCCATATTCGTGTTAAGTGCTTGATATATATCCTTTCTTCTTTGATTAGATTCTAATGTTTGTAAAAGTGCAACATCCTCTACAAGTCTTAGAAATACTAGCAGAACTAACTCAGTTTGACTTTCACCCCTTGTACATGCTTGACTAAGTTCAGCAAGTAATGTAGGCCATTGTTGCGGCCATTCCCTTTTTATCATTTCTACTACAACCCGAGAAAGCGCATCTTTAATATGAGCTTCTTCCTGTAACAATGGTTCTGTGCCTTCTTGAAGCAATTTCATTGCATTCTCTTTTATAAATATTTTCTCTGTTTGAGATATTTGTGTCCATCTATATTTGATACAATGTTCCATAAGTTGTAATCCAAAATGCCTAACAACTGAACTTCTGTTTGGAGCTTTTTGAGCTAGATACAATCCACATTGTGCACATAAAGGAGAGGATTCTTTGAATCGCTCACAAGCATTGTATACTTCTAAACGCTGCTGTTGTGGAACATTTGGTGACATCATTACCTCCACTACTTGAGCAAGTTCTGCTGATATTTGGGCAACATTGCCTACTCCGAACTCCATTCCTATCTATTGCACTGCAATTAAAAATGATAGTTCTTTATAAATTTTTTTATCAAATTTCGAACGTAACAAAAGAAAAAAGATAACATAAATTTTTGTAATTTTATATTTATTTTCAGTTTTTATCAACAATGATGATATTTTAAATTGTATTTGTAATATTCAAATATTTAAATTCTAAAACATATGTATTAAATATATTGAAACACTTTATCTATTTCTATTTTAATATCTAGATTTATACTTTGATTTCTAATGATTAAATGACATTTTTCCCATTTAGAGCACTTTTATAAATACAATATATTAAAGTAAAATAATATCAAATATTGACGAAAAATAATATCAATGTTAACGAATGTAATATTCGGGAACGATTTAAAAATCTTTATCGAAATGCAAACGGGTAAAAAAGTCGATAATTGCGAGAAAAGAATTAAAATAGCGCAGAGAACATTAAAATTTCATAAAATGACACTCGAAAAATTCAAATTCGGGAACGAAGCAAACAGAAATAAAAGTGATTCATAGAAGATATCAATGCCCTGTGCATACCAAAAAGATTTACAGGGATTCAGAAAAATTTGGAAAAAATTAGGTGTTATAAAATCGCGTAATTACAATGCAAAAAAAAGACACGAGGTGAAGCAGCTTGCAAAGTATGCGTAGCATGCCTTGGTAAGCATGCCTTGACAGAAGATACCTACCTCGTAACGCGATCGTAGATCGAGACGGATCGAAGATACACGTTTGGCAAAAGTTCTGTCAATACGGCTTGTCAATTCATCTCTGATGATCGCTTATGGAGTCAAAAACTCGCGGCGTGTACAAGCGGTGATCTTATATTTAGTCAAAGAAGTTCGCTTCCCGAGGGATATGCGGCACGTTGAACGATTACATATAACATACGTAAAATAGGTACTGCCCTCTAGATGGTTTAAATTCAACCTAACCTTACCTTATCATGCGTGCATGTTTTTTATGTTTATATGAATCACAATTATTCCATTATTACATTATTTATATCTATAATAATATTGTAAAAATATCAATTAAATAAAGAAATTCATTACGATCACTTACCTTTCATATATGTTAGTTGAAATTTTCCTCGCAACGTTCGAATCAAAACAATCTGAAGAATTTTATAGGTTATGCCGGTGATCTCTAACACGAGTTCGTCTCATATTAAGGGCGATAATATAAATACACGATGGACGAAGCTTTAACCACACCACCTACATTTCAATTAAATTTTTCTAAACAAATATATTGCGTTGAATTATCTCCTTACGAATGGTCTCAACATTTAATTTGTGTCGCTTTGACCGAAGAAATTGTTATCGGCACTATTAAATTTCAGGTAAAGTTTTTGAATTTCATCATATGTATGTATATTTCCGGATATTAAATGTTGAGTTTATAAATTTTATATTTGATTGATATTTCATAAAAATTATTTTTTGTTAAAAAAAAACTAAAAAAGAAATATAATTTACAACATATCTTTTAATAGGATATAAAAATATACAAATGAGAAAAATGATATAGTGAAATTTCATTTGTAATTGTAATTTCAAATACAAACTGTTAAATGTTCACAGCATATAAAATGTTAATCAATTGTGATATATAAAAAGCTTTTAGAAAAAACTTGTTTTTAA